TGTAACGTTTCGTTCAGGTCTTGTGTATTTAAATTTATATATTTCAGTTAATTTAAAATTTATATAATGATAATATAATTTCCAGTATAGTTTATATAATCTCTCATCTCTCCACTGGGCCACTGGGCCAGTGGAGAGAGTGATGCGTAACTTCGTTCAGTTCACACAAGGCTGGACATGGGAACGCAGGGTCCAGTCCTGGCCAAGCCGCAGTTCTGTTAATGATATATATTATATATATATATAATATATTATATATATATTATATATATATATATATATATATATATATATATATATATATATATATATATATTTATATATATATATATATTATATATATTATATATATGTATATATATATATATATATATATATATATATATATATATATATATATATATATATATATATATATATATATATATATATAATATATATATATATATATATATATATATATATATATATATATATATATATATATATATATATATATATATATATATATATATATATGTATATATATATATATATATATATATATATATATATATATATATATATATATATATATATATATATATTTTAGGAAACAATTATGCATGGATTTCTCCCTGAAGCTGTGTATATCTTCTCTTCCTTAACACCCTCTATATAAGAATGTGAATATTTATTTTAAACCATCATTTGAATGATACATGATAATATAAATTATTCTCATAGCACGTGTAGGCCTCATCTCACTAGCTTCAATTTCTTTCAACGCTGGTGTACAGTAACCAGGATAAAATTCTTGGCATAATTTGCATCTGCAGATGCCAAATGAACAAAATTGTAGAACCCATTCCCGGCTTCATAGAATGACTTCGATAACTTGCAAAACCTTCTGCTGTTTTGTTCAAGTTTCAGAAAAAAAGCCTCCTAATTCAAAGACAACAGAGAGAAACTTGTGTGTTGATGCTCATCTGCCAATTCTATATGTAAAACAGTGTGATTTTATTCTTGTTAAACCACGATAAACATATTTCTCTCTCTTCTGATCAGTTTCAAATTTTTAGCCCTGGTGTGCTTTTCACAAAGCAAAGTTCGCGTTCTTACTGGGCTACATGAATAGCAATTTGCCAGTTTTATTAAATAAACAGCGACACTAATTTTTCATTCACAAATTAAAGAATCTCATTGTATCGGGTTTAAAATATTAATGCTGATACATTCCATAAGAAGAATATATTCCATAAGAAGGATACATTCCATAAGAAGAATATATTCCATAAGAAGGATATATTCCATAAGAAGGATATATTCCATAAGAAGGATACATTCCATAAGAAGGATACATTCCATAAGAAGAGTATATTCCATAAGAAGGATATATTCCATAAGAAGGATATATTCCATAAGAAGGATATATTCCATAAGAAGAATATATTCCATAAGAAGGATATATTCCATAAGAAGGATGACACACTGAAAGCTTAGAATGTGTAGTGAACATCTGAAATTTTAAAGAAATTGCTTAGAAAGGTTGAAATTATTTGATACCGAGCAGTTACTGGAGTACGCCTTTTCTGATAGGCTTCGACCATTAGTGTGGAGACGCTTTATTGGAAGAAAACTTGGCTTTCCCTGTGAGCTATGTAAATTTTTTAATTATCAGTTTTACTAAATAAATTGGTTTCAACGTAAAGACTAGAAAATGCCTTTTCTTTTTTGCTTCAAACTCTCAAGCGCTGGTGCAGCTTAAATTAATTTTTTTTTTATTTCGGCTGTGTTGAAGCCAAGTTGCCAATTTCGTAAAAAAACAGTCAACTTGGACTTTCATAAAAAACACTAATTCAATTATTTTTTTCCTTTTAGGATAGCAGAGAATTTTTAATAGAATGGGAATGCAATAAAAACGAAGAAATGAAAGAAATATTAAAAATTAGCTGTTTAAGGCATTTTTAATTTTCACGAGTTTACTTGACACTTAAATACCGTACGACTTTATACCAGAGCCGGTCACATTGTTAGCTTGAGTGTTATTGTCTTCCACTAACTTCCTCCAAGACTTTCGTTTATAACTTCTGAACGCCTTATCAGATCGACTTCAAATTTTCAATCCAGGGGAAGTATTACCAGGTGAAGGTTCCGGGAGCAACTGACAAGCGCACCGTTCTCAAAATTGGTCTCCTTGCGATAACTTTAAAAAATATTTTCTCTTCTGCTTCAACACTTGTGTATTCTACTTGGAAGATTGAAGATTGTGTGTAACTGACGTTTTGCTACGAAATTGAGTATAATTATTTTGCATTAAATAAGTGTAATATGCCTCCTTTAGTTTGAGGAGAGTACTAATCCAAGGAATTGTACTTAGCCTCCCCTTATATGGATCGAATTAGAATGTCTCTTATTCGGGTTCAACGCTCTCCTCTGATTAAAATTAAACATTCTTGAACTGTATCAATCTTTACTGGCTGTTGCATTTTATGAAATAGAAGAAACGTTTTTCTGGGGGATTAGACTGTGCAGGTTAAGTTTTTTTTTTTTTTTTTAAATTCTGTACATTATCTTTCAAACTATTAATGCCATTGTGTTTTCATCAAACGAAACTTTTGATCTTAGGTTGTGTAAGTTTTAATGTGCCAATTTTATTAAACATTAATTTTTATTAAAATGAATGTTATGTAAACAAACCTTAAAAACTATCATTCATTTACTTATTCCTTAATTAAATGTTCGTTACAATTTGCTTATGTCATGCGTTAATTTCTGAGTGCCTCATCAGATTAACTGTAATAATTAATTCAACGCTGATGAATTGTTACTGAAAATTCTGAGCCGCTTCTACCATAACGTGTTGTATTTTAAAATATTGATCTCTGAGATAACAAGAGTTTGCCTCCTCGGTTTATCTTCAAAGCTGGTATTTCTTATTGGTAGGCTTCAGACAGTTTACAATTTTTATTGAAGAGTTTGAAATGTCACTTTCCATGTGATAACTCGTGAATGCCGTTCCTGATTCACTTCAAACATTCACTAATAATATTTAACTGAATTAGAAACTTATGCCTCTGCGTTATTGCTATCGCGTGCATTGAGGTAAAAATGGTCGCAATATGGGGATGCCTATCTAGGGTCGCCCAACGACCTAAATATCTCTAACTGTTTTATGCCTTTAATGCATTCCTAAACATAAGTTAATTCCGTGCTTGTTGTTCTAACGTCTTCAGCATTTCTTCAACGCTTGGCTGTGGCCCTCCTAGACGCAGCGGACGAGGTAGACCTTCAACGATTTGTGTCGTGGGTCGTCGGGTAAACTTGCCGAGAAACACTGCTTGATTCCATCCTGCGGCTCTAGTGTGGTTGAGGTCCTTAATGTATAGCCTGCAAGACTTTCTTCTCGTTTAGAAATTTGTACTCGCTGATTGTAATCACCGATTAGTGATAGTGGAGGTCAAGTGTTAGCTCCTGACTCCGCCTTCTAAGATACGTTGACAGGCATTGCGGGTTCTTGCTTCTTAAAACTCTTCATAGAATTTGCACCCACTGCTTTCCCATCAAGATTTTATGTTATGCTTTCTCTCTCCCCCTGAAAATAAATACTTCTTAACATTCTTGTGGTTTTCCTATCTTTGGCTTCCAACTGCGTCCACTTGCCCCATGGACCTCTCGTATCAAACAACTTACAGCATTCCTACCGGTCCTATAAATTCCTCTTAGCGTTTTACCCAGCGTAGTTCTCTCTTTACTAGTTCTTCTCTCATCCAAGGTCGTTAGGTTTAGTTGTTAAATTCTTTCCACACAGTGCCTTCCTTTCAGCTCTGGGAGTGCTCTGGCTGCAAAACTTTTTTTTAAAGATATTTCGGGAGTCAAGAATCATGTTGGGGCTGCGTACTCTATGATGGGTCTTACATAGAGTAGTCTGTGGATCATAGCCTGATGCACACCCGCGGCTGTTTTGTGTGATGCTAACCCCTAAATACTCTTCTTTCATTCATATTTGTAGCTATCCTTTTCCTATTTAATACCCCATCTTTGGTTTTTCCCTATTCTTCCTCACTTTACACGTCTGTACATCTGTTTCAGTTTAACTGCAAGAGCCACTTATTGAACTTCTGAAGCCTCTCCATGTTTTTCTTAGTCCTCTCATTAGTAAACACACACATAGGATCGATACCTTCAGGAAAATATTATCTATGTCAACTCCTCTAGACTGTGAATATTTTCTTGTGATTTATTTTGTGGAAATATATCACAAGCCATGTTTCTTATCCCAGTGATTATAAAGTTATCATTTGTGGAAGATATTTGGGCCTTGTGTGTGTGTGTGCGTGTATGTGTGTGTGTATGTGTGTGTGTGTATATGTGTGTGTGTGTGTGTGTGTGTGTGTATGTGTGTGTGTGTGTGTACAGAAATCCCTGTGTTATCGTAACACGTTATCGTAGTAGGAGGGATCTAAAAACCAGTAGGTCTATGAGTTACCAGTCACATTTATTACACAAAGCAGGAACAACTTTGCTTTTAAAACTAATTATTGGTCAATGTACATAATCTCCAGGAATTCACTGTGGCCAGCGCTCCTGTAGAAAGCAAACTTTAAATCTCCTTTTCATGCTTCAAGTCACGAATCATAACTTCGACTACATAACTTTGTTTCAGGGACTTCCTAACCATCTTGTATTAAAATTAAAGAAAAGAGTACCTCGATACGTGGTCAGTTGCTTTACATGTACATAACTTTCATCCGTGGAGAGTCGAGGCTGAATGACCTCTTGCGTTTTCAGGTCAAATCTGTGAATATAGACCCGCTTCTCCCTCACTGTACGACCTCCAGGACTTTACTTCTCTTACATACATGTAGTACTCCTCTTGAAATACCTATAGTGAGTTAGAATCGAAAGTATAAATGATAATATGACAGACAAAAAAAATGCAAATCGTGTACCGTATATGGCGGCGTGGCTGGGGTATTGGGCATGGCCTTAGTGGGTGGAAGGGTACCAGAGAGCTCAGTGGGCTGGAGTCCTTGGTTGAGGTAGTACGTGTGCCTCACTCCTCCCGATCCTCCTCACTTGCTACGCGTGTGCACTCGATAAACATAACGTGAGTCGCCTTATCTAGTTCTGACTCAGCAGCCTATTGCACTACTGAGGGTGTTCCAACTTGATTGTTATACCTCTTTTTAAGTGAGAAAACTCAATATTTCTTTATATTCGAATTAACTACTGAGTTTTAAGTTGCATTCGTGTGTATTGTTAATGTGTTTACCCACAATGTTCAAGGACCTCTTCTCATGTTACAGGTCTCCTGGAAGCTACAGTTTTCTTGGAAGTGAAAGACTGTGTTAGCCGCAAAACACATCAAAGTGCCTCATTTATTGTCTTCAGGAAGTGATGCGCAAAGACATACAGTGTTATCAATTTGTTCTTCTTGGTTATCAATTTGTTCTTCTTGAACAGCATTACATTTCGTGAAGTCAAGTCTTGCACTGGAAAATGGCCAAAATAGAGAACCAAGTGGCAACTCAGGAGAGTGTGGGCGATGCAGTGGACGATAATAATAACAATAATAGCAACGATGATAAAAATCAAACTGACAGCCAGATTAGCAAGACAGCGGCAAGTTCCGGCGCAAAGTATCAGTTGCGACCTCGGTCAGTGCACCCGCGGCGCCGCTGTGACAGTGAATGGAGTCTGGAGGACACACTGCGGCAACACAAGCAGAGACCGCCACCGCTCTCCAGGTACCGCAGGAAGACGGCTAATGCCCGCGAAAGGTACCGCATGCGGCAAATCAACACTGCCTTTGAGAGCTTACGAGGGGTGTTACCCTCGTGGGTATGTAGCCGACGCGCCGCTTCCGAGATGACGAAGATCACCACGCTGAGGCTGGCCTCGGCCTACATCAGGTCGCTACAGGACATCCTGGATGGTAAAGCCCATCAGGACACCTGCTCCTGGGTCCTTTCCAGCATTTTCCAGGACGCCTCCCATCTCCAGGAGTCTCAGCCAGACCTCTGCGATGGTAATCACTCCAAGACGCAGCAAGCTCTCTCGCATACGCCCTCAGATTCTGATTTCGTGTCTTTCCTGTGCACTTCCACGGAGTCCACAGTTTTTCAGGACAGCATGGAGTCTTTCTCTTACCTTTCTCCCATGTCTGAGGCTGAGGCCATGGCTCTTCTGCTAGGGAACGAACATCAACCAAGACCCTGGACCGAGGGTCACCACTTCCCGCTTGTGTCGTGATTTCAGCGAAGTCGTTAATGCTCTTCTTGGATCTTGAATTTCCGTCCCGATCACGTACCTACCATACCATTCCCGCCGGTGTAGAGAAGTGATCTATCATAAGAAAATTCACGGTGATTAAGGTGATAAGTTGGCGATCATCATGGCATGCAGATGTCATAACTATTACGACTGTGGCTTGGGCTTCCTTACAGAAGAACGGCTTCAGTTGCGGCATTGCAACGACAGCTACGACACAGCCAGCAAGGTTTCGGGTGCCATAGGCGATTAGCGGCTCACCTCTGATAGGATATTAAGTGACAATCCCTAAAATCTGCATTTGAGAAAAAGAAGAATTTGCAGTCTGTTTCGTGAACTCTCCAGTTTAACATGTTTTTCACTTACGACCACTGATCGTAAAGTTGTCGAGACAGACTTTCTTGAAAGATAGTCAATAGAAAGTGCAAAATATTATTGTGTATCTGTGTGTGTATATATATATATATATATATATATATATATATATATATATATATATATATATATATATATATATATATATATATATATATATATTATATATATATATATATATATATTATATATATATATATATATATATACATATATAATATATATTATATATATATATATATATATATATATATATATATATATATATATATATATATATATATATATATATATATATATATATATATAGTTACCTGTTTTAAGATTAGCACTAGGTGTTAAATGTACTCGTTTTAAATGTACTCGTGTGAGGAGTATATCAGTAATACCATGACATACAGTAGCATAACGAATCAAGCGTAGTAGTGTGTCAGTTTCAAGTGGTTTAGTGTTTTTTTATTATTAACTGCGGTGAAGCTTGCAAAGTAGCGACAGTGCTACCAGAACTGCGGTGAAGCTTGCAAAGTAGCGACAGTGCTACCAGAACTGCGGTGAAGCTTGCAAAGTAGCGACAGTGCTACCAGAACTGTGGTGAAGTTTGCAAAGTAGCGACAGTGCTACCAGAACTGTGGTGAAGTTTGCAAAGTAGCGACATTGCTACCACAACTGTGGTGAAATTACAAAGTAGTGACAGTGCTACCAGAACTGGGATGTACCTAGCAAAGTAGCCGCAGCATTGCCAGAACTACGGTAAAGGTGGAAAGACAGAGATAATGTTACCAGAAATGTGGCGAAGCTAGCAAAGCATCAGGAGTGTTACCAGTACTGTTGTAAAGTGCATATGGTAGCGGCACTGTTACTAGAACTGTAATGAACTGGAAACTAGTGGCAGTGTTACCAGAAGAGTGCTGAAGGGAAGACAGACTAGTGGCAGTGTTACCAGAAGAGTGCTGAAGGGAAGACAGTAGCAGAAGCGTTACCATAACTATTATGAAATGAGGACGACAGCAGAAGTTACCACAAAAGTGGTGATAAGTCTTACATGGTAGCGGAAGTGTTACCAGAACAGTGACGAAATGACCACGGTAAAGACAGTATCACCAGAACTGTGACCAAGCCGGCAAGGTAGCAACAGTGTCACCAGAACTGTAATTAAGAGAGGATGGCAGCCGCAGTGTTACCAGAATTACGATTGAGTGGCCCCACTAGTGGCTCTTTAACTTTCAGTAACGTGATAATGAGTTCGGCTCTTTGGTAACCCACACGAGTTTAGCGCTTCATATAATGAACAATAATAATAATAATAATAATAATAATAATAATAATAATAATAATAATAATAATAACAGTAATAATAAAATGTACAGGAAATTCAGGTTCGTTTCAAAATTATTATAATTGGAAAGCGCTAAGCCCGTAAGAGTTACACAGTGCCAGGAGAATGGATGGTAATCAAGTTTGATCTTGGGAAAGAGCTCGTCTGTTCCATTTCCTTAGATCAAGAGCCTGTCAGCGTCGAGGAAATACTTCTCCCCCCATTCCCCACACTGGCGCAGACTCACAACACTGATTAATATTAATTATTATGATTATTATTATTATTATTATTATTATTATTATTATTATTATTATTATTATTATTATTATTGCTATTATTATTGATATTATATCTGTGATGCGCTAAATCCGTATGTCTTTCACCCGGCTAATATAAAGACACATGGAGCAGAGTAAGTCTTTTTCAAGACAATGTGTCGCTGCCGAATGCGTAAAACTGCGATTTTGGCTTAAATAGTAACGCTCTTCTTGCCGAATAAGGCAAGCGAAAATTGTGTATGCAATAATTTCGCAAAAATCATTTTGAACCTACCGAAAAAATATATATTTCATTGTGTCTGTTTATTATTAAATTATTGTAAACTTATCTAAAATATATTTAGTTGGATTACTGGATTAGGTTAAATGAAATTACGCTTGTTATAATAAGGTTAGGGAAGTTTTCTAAGGTTCTTCTGGTACAAAATTAGTAATTTTTACATTAACATAAATGAAAAAAAAATACATATCTTTAAACGGACTTAATTTTAAATGAGTCCTTGCTAATTGACCAGTGTTACCTATTCGGAACGACATATATATATATATATATATATATATATATATATATATATATATATATATATATATATATATATATATATATATATATATATATATATATATATATACATATATAAATATACTTATATATATATACATATATATATATATATTATATATATATATATAGTAGTATTATTAATAATATTAATATTATAAATGTAGGGTGAGGAAATTAAGTCAGCCTCTCTAGGATGGGGTAGGTACTATAGATATTTTTTTTTTATTATACCGTGAGGTTCGTACCTCTCAGGGCAGACACTACAATGTAAACAACACGCCGGTTTGTGCACATTCTGAGGTCCGGTGTATAGTAAACAGTTCCAGGTGCTCTTGGAAACCTAGTGTGTATTGTTTGCAAACTTTGCCACATGATGCATGGAGTATATACTCTAAGAGTCTATGCTCCATGCGTCATGAGGGTGTATATCCCCCACCCCTCACATAAATGTATATGCAATGAGAGATGTGTATCACCTTTGTGTAGATACACTGAGAGGTATTTATCTCATCAGTGTAAGTGCACTGAGTTATGTATATCCTCTCGGTGTTTATAGACTAGGAGGTGTATAACATCCCCAGCGTTTTCACAATGAGAGATGTATATCCCTCTCAGTATATATACAATGAAAGGTGTTTATCCCTTGATTGTATATACACTGATAGGTATATCTCCTTATTTTATATAAATTAATAAGTGTATAACCCCTCTGTGTACATACACTGAAAGATGGATAACCCCTCTGTGTATATACACTGAGGTGTATTTCCCCTCCGACTATATATGTTGAGGTGTATATGTCTCATTGTATATACAGTGAGAGACGTATATGCACTTGGGTGTTTACCTCTGTGCATATTCATTGAGAGATACTGTTGTATATATACATTGAGAGGCGTATTTCTGTGTAAATACATGGAGAGGTTTTTTTTATATTTATGCATATTCACTGAGGGGTGTATATATGAGTATATACACTGATAGGTATATATCTCTGTATATATATATATATATATATATATATATAATATATATATATATATATATATATAATATATATATATATATATATATATATATTATAATACATATACACTGAGAAGTATATACTACTCAGTTTATACACATTGAGAGTCATAAATTTGAAATAATATCCTGTTAGCCAGGATAAAATAGGTAAAATTGAAAATGTAGGCGAAAAAAAGATGCCATAGAGTGAGATTAGTGTATTGTTGATATTCAAAATATATATATATATATATATATATATATATATATATATATATATATTATATATATATATATATATATATATATATATATATATATATATATATATATATCACAGGGCCACCCAACCCTAAAGAATGGCGCAGCCAGCACATAGCTAGCTGTTGGGCCGCCAACCGAGGGCATACGGAGGTGTGGGAGCTTCTAAGCTAATTTCATTCTCATCCCTGTTATATATATATATATATTATATATATATATATATATATATATATATATATATATATATATATATATATATATATATATATATATATATATATGTATGTATGTACATATATATACTTATTTCAGAATATACGCGAACGAAGCAGAATACAAACTAAGGTATGGTTGTGAGTCGCACTGAGGTTGAGCTGTATATAACTGAAAGGGCACAAGCTGCTGGACCAACATTTCACTCTTGTGTAGAGCTTTAAAAAGTCACGATAAAGCTCTGCACAGAGCGAGGCATTGCCCTCCTTTCTGGTAGTTGTTTAACGTTTCTGTTCTTCACTCTCGCTAGTAGTGAATCACCTGGAGTCAAGTAAACAAGTGAATGATACAGCTTGACCAGGACATGGTACATCGTACATTGTTTAATGAAATAAAAGTTTCAGACCTGGTCTGCCAGGCAGCAAGCAGTTAAGATCCAACGAATTGCACAAAAAGACGCGACTTGGATCGAAATCGACAGCATATTCAAATTTAGGCACAACACAGGTTAAGAATGTAAAACGTACGCACCAGAAGACATACAACATCAAGATATAACACAAATTGTTAACGCTACAATAAGATTGTTAATACACAATACAATAAAACAATCCACAACTCAGATAGGTAAATTACAATAGCCAGAACAATTACCAGTGTTACATTCCTCTCTGATGATGAAGAACAATGCATCATAACCCAGCCAAGATATATTGATTTAGGCTAGACCGGGAGACTTAACATAGGTAAGAATAGACATAATAAGTCATTTCCTTGACATTCTAGTCAGCTCGCGAGCTTCTAAGAACTAACTTTGAATAGACCTGACTCTGTCGATCATGACGCTGAACACTGTGTAAGGAGAACCATTGCGTCATGATACCATGTACCTATAAATGTCTTTTTGATTGTATACTAAATAAAATTTGTTGAGTTTCAGTTTTCATTGAGTTATTATTATTATTATTATTATTATTATTATTATTATTATTATTATTATTATATTATTATTATTATTATTATTTATTATTATTATAAACGTTTATTACCTTGTACAGTATTTTAATTATTTTGTATAGTATTATCATGTCACATTACACAGGTTCATGAATGCAGCAGATGTTAGGGCCGATAGTTTGTTGTGGTGAACTGGCGTCATTAAGGGGTTTTCAGTATCCAGAAGATTTAAGTTTTTCCATAACTTATACATATATATTTCGAATATACGAGAGCGGATCGAAAAGTCTTTGTGTCCATTATCTTCTTCGTAACAAAAAAAATACACTTTAGCTATACTGGATATTGTGCTCATTGGTTACTTCTGGACATGATCACCAAACTTACTGAGGCCCTTAACCCATTTATAATATACGTCTGGACAGAATACTAAAAATGGGTCTTAATATTTTGACATCCATTTTTTTT